TGGTCGGAGCAGCAGCTTCTGGCCCCTTCTCAGCACCTCAGCTCCCAGGGAGCTGGTCTGGTGCTGCACTCAGGAACAAGAACGTGGAGGCCCTTGTGGCTGAGGGGTCTTGCTGAGGCCACACCTCTGCTCAGGGTGGCAATGGTATGTCGAAGGGAACAGACACAGCTGGGTCCTGGCGCGTCACTTTCTGCTGTCCTGTCCCTGGGAACACCCAGGTCCCACAGCTGGAGACCCACCTGTGCAGGAATGGGGGTCACTGGAGGGTCCACTCATCTGTATTCTGTTGAAGGCCTGTTTCCATAGCCACCATGATCTGGTCTCATTCTGCCCTCCCTCTGGTGTCCTTTCCCCCTGGTCCCCAAGGTGTTCTCCCGCTCTCCCTTCCCTTTACAGCCAGCTCTGCAAGGGGGTCTGATCTGCCCATTTTTATACCCTGCTAAATACTCTGAGCTTATGTGATGGCCAAGGGCCATTTTTGAAGAACCAGGCAGCTTCCTGTGGATGGTACAGACAGCCAGGACTGAGTGAGGGCGCCCCCGTCCTGCACAGACAACAGGTACCTGAGATGAACACGTTCCACAAATGCGCATGACTATGACTATGTCTCCAAGTGAGGGAACTCAAAGTTTAGCTGCCTGTGACCCTCCCACAGAAGTAGCTGTGCTTAAAGGGACAGATCAAAAGACACTTAAAAATAGAAAAAGAGAAAATATGGCACAGTCCTTACACCTCCCCAAAGTAGAGAGGGTCCCACTTGCAGAGATGACAACAGGGTCCAGCAGGCTCTTGGTGGCATCCTGCAGTCACGGAAGGGAGCGTGGGTGTGGAGAGGGGAGCTTGCCTGCCAAGGTCGGCCGTGCAGGCAAATCACACTCGGAAACGTGTTTGCTGCTTTTCAGAAGTGCCCAGCGCTGCCGCCCCTCCAGCCACATCCCTTCATCCCCATCCTGCCATCTGCCTCTCAAAATCCCACCTCTGCTGCCTGGAATGATTACAAGGTTTGCTTTATTTTCACTTTAAAAAAAATCCTAATCTCATGTCCCTTTTGAAACGCCCTCTCAAAAATTGAAAGGCACAGTTTCCTCGACATGCCACTGTTTGGGAGGAGGGCAGTGTTCCCGGGGCTGGTATTGCCTCTGCAGCCTGATCCTGGGGTGGTTCTGGGCAGAGCTTCAGCAGCCAGCCCCGCCCCGCCCCACGCAGGTGGCCGCAGCTCTGGGTGCTGTTTACAAACCATTAATGAAGTGATTGTGGCTCTTTCCACTTGCTCACACTTTTGAACTGTGCAGAGTGACACATTCCTAAACAGGGGACACAGGAGCAGAGAGAAGCCCACAACAGCCTTATTGTGGGGGCCACACAAATGCTAGTGGTGCCGGGTTTATATTAACCCAATCAATTAAGGATGGACGGAAAGGCCGGGCCCAGGGCACTGGGAGCAGTGGCGCTGGAGTTGCTAGGCGTGCGGGGCTGGCCCCAGGCTCCCGGCCCAGCCGCTTTCTTCCTGCACAATAAAAGGCTCTTTCAAAGCTGGGCTTTGCAGCAGCACAAGCAGTAGAAGTCACTGCATTCTCTGAATGAAATAAATGTCTCTTTTTAATTCCTATAAGGTTTGTGTAAATTCCCCACAGTACAGCACCATTAGGATTCCACAGGAAAGGCGCATACATTAGACTACACTGTATCCTTTTGTGCTCTGCACATCAGCTCTCTGCGCCACTGATGCAAACTTTAAAAGCTTCCATAAAGTGGGGGCTCCTGCTGGGGAGACAAGCTGACCGGCCCACTGAAGCCACCTTTGTGCTCCAGAGCCTCATTTGAATAAACAGCATGCTGTCACTGGGGAAGGCAGATGGCTCAAGTGCTCCATTCCAGCAGAAAGAGAGAGGGAAACAGAGGATTTTATTCATTTTGTCCTTTCCTTAAACTAAAACATTTCTGGGACCACCGAATTTCCCAACCACACGCAGCCGAGCCCAGGGGAAAGGCGTGCCATGTTGCCCGGGCGCGTTGCTGCTCGGGATGAGACATTCAGTCCCTGCACCCCGGACACCCCGCTTCCCACACTGTGCGCTTGGCTCTTCTGTGTGCCACACACACCCTCTGACGCACACGCTCAAAAGCTCCTCGGAAGTCGCCCAGGATCACGGGGTCCTGGTATGTTTGTGCGTTGTATGTTCAGCTGTGACTGGACTTAAATTAAACACCACTTCATGGGTTGAACAAGTGGTCAGGGCAGATTTAGGACTGTACATAAATTGTCGGACTTAAAAGCCTCATTTCAAGATGTATTATGTTCGCTCTTTTTGGTGGGTGGGTAAGGTCTTTCTGAAAGTTAGAAAGGCTGGAACCCCCGCACTGGGGTTGCCAGGAGATTCGAATGTGACTGGAGCCCCTTGGTGTGGAGGAAAAGAGAGACAGCGCCTCACTCATTCCCTGTCTTCACAGTGAGTGGCCTGCTGGGGTCTCCTGCCCTGCCCACTTCTTTAATGGGCTACACCAGCCAGGCCTCTGACACAGAAGAGAGCAGGTCCTGTGTTGCTCAGTATTTAATGTCGTGAGTTGTATTCGAGTAGGTTAATGATACTATTAATCAGAGCTTCTTAGAAGCAGAAGTATTAAGTGAAATGTTATTAAGCATGAATGTGCATGTGAAGTTTCCGTGGAAAATTCTTAGAGCCAAATTCACATTCCTTTTTAATATACAAAAGGTATTTTTTTGAGCTCCAATTTTTAAAGACTTTTTGAGGTTTGGACGGGGGAACAGGGTTCATTTTAAAACATGCAATGAGAATTCAATAACGTTCTCAGAACCCTTGAACTAAATCAGGAAGAAAACATCTTCAAGGCCCGGAGTGTGCAGGGAATGTGTTGCTTTACACACTGACAGCACCACAGGGCAGTTCAGATTCTCTCTGCAGCAGGAAGTTAAACATAAACTCTTTATAAACAGAATTTAGGCAATCAGGAAAAATGCACTGCAAAGTGAATAGTCTGCATTCTATTAAAAGGGTCACTTGTGTAGTTTGTATATGTAGAGCAAACCTTTTAAAATTAAAATACTAGATCTGTGGGATGCTTTTTCCAACATGGATGTGTGAGCACGTGTATATACTGTCATGAGCTTCACCATCTATGTGTGGTATTGGAGGATTCTGTGTTACTCCTTCTCTGTTTCATTAGGAGAAGCATTGGAGCCAATGCGTAGGGTGTGGAGAAGAACCTTAGCCTGGCGTGCCCAGAGGAGGGTGTCCAGGTCCCCGCAATGTGTTACTGGAAGCAAACCCTTGACATAATTGAACAGCAGCCACGCTCTCCCGGCTGTTGGCTATTACCTGGGTGGAAGGTCCTGTCTGTGTTCATCTGTAAAACAAATCACAGGACAGTAAGCACAGTCCATATTGTCCCCTGCTGGCATCTTCACAATTGATATCGATGGCTACAGCCACGTTCATCAATCAAGGTCCTCATTAATCAAGGGGCTACAGGGGAGCCCCCTGCTTGGGGCCCAGGCTGGTCGCCTCTGCCTTCCCTGGCTGAAGAAAACCTTTGGGAGTGCACTAAAGGGAGCATCTATGAACATTTATGTGTGTAGTTTATGCTCACCTCGGGTCAGATAAAAATTTTTAGAGGCAAGAGTTTTTACTCTCATAATGTCTCCCACAAGGCTTTCCTGAGGGGGCAGGGGGAGGAGTGAGCATCCAGTAGTCTGGGAGGTCCAACTTCAATGAGCCACTCGCTGACTAAATAAGCAAAAAACTTGTGATCTCCATGATTTCATTCAAATAAAAGGAAGGAGTTTGAGGACTTTAATGACCATAGCACGTCTTTTCCCCAATCCTTCCTTCAAAAAATAAGTTGAAAACATCAAATATATGCTAACTTGAATTAATACAAAACTTTCTCTGAGGATATAGAAATGGGCAGGCGGACTAACTGGTTGGACTTAGAACACTTGTTTTCTTTTTCTTTCTTTTGCTTCTTTCTAAAATAAAAAGATATTGATTCAAAAAAAATGGAAAATCAAGTTAAAAAATATTGAAATTGATAGGGACAGGAGGAATGATTATAGCATGAGAGGCCTTCCTGCCCTGCCCACTCTGTGCAGGAGGCAGCACTGTGGCCACGACTGCATGGTCCTGACCAGGCCAGGTTTCCTTCCTCAGAAGACACCGACAATTCCTCCTGAACAAACAGAGAGGGAGAAAGGAAAAGAAAGATGGGGACACTGAATCTCCCAGGAAGGTACCCACCTTCCCACTGTCACTCACAACAAAACCACCAGTCTGCAAGCTCATGGTGCACCCAGAACAGGAAAGACTTTCTCGTGTCCCTCTCTTCAATGTAAAGAGAGGTCCAAGATGCAGGGGACACCCCAGGAAAGTCAGAGCCTGGAGGGACTTGGAACCAGCAGTGACAGGGCAACGTGGAAGCAGACAAAAGAGCCCTGCGGCCACAAACCAAGAACTGCTACTATCGAGTCAAGCATGTGACAGCAGCAGCGAGTTCTGGGAATCAATGGATGTCATACTCAAGTGTGCTGGCAGGTGAACCTCACTTCATTTGCTTGTTTATATTTGATTTGTAGATTACATACAGAGTGTGCAAAAATTAAAAAAAAATAATATGAGAAAACGCAATGGGGCAGATCTTTCATACAGTAGGCAAAACTAAACGGAAAAAAGTAGAAAATGAGAAGAAAACTGTGAAAAAATTAGAGAATCAACCCATGAGTTTCAGTATGTGACTAGTGAAGGATAGAACAGTGAACTGGAGGGTAGGAAACAAGGCCACTGAAGTAGCTGCAGGGTTATATCAAATTCCCTCTCTGAAGCTTCCATCGGTCACCAGGCACAGCGCATAATTAAACCCCAAACTAACCAAACAGGCTCTAAAAATAAAACAACCTTCACTCTCAAAACATTGTTGCAAAATTTCAAACCCCTGAGAATAAGATTTCGAAATACTGCAGAGCTGAGAGAGCACCCTGGTGAAGACAGGCTCATGGAGAAGGAGCTCAGCTCTGTCCAGAGCCAAGGGCGAAGGACCAACGGACGCTTTCAGGCTCTCCAGAAGGTGGTGGGAACCATACCCCTCCTGCTTCCAAACCTGCAAGCAGGTACCCAGAGCAAGGCTGTGAGTCCTGAGGGCCGAGGATGAGGTCCAGGGCACAGGCCTGGAGCAGGAGCAAAGCAGAGACCACCCTGCGTCCTGGCATGGTGCAAGGAGCACGCCCAGGAAGCAGACGGCTGGGGCAGTCAGGAAGTCAGCATTCCAGGGGAAAGTCACAAGGCAGAAATGATGGGGACAATGCGACTGGGTTTTTTTTGTTGTTGTTGATTTTGAAATCTTGATAAATTGGTATGGTGAAGACGAAGCAATAGAAAACCATAGAACTGAGAGTCAAGTAAAATCAGGAAATGCTACATAAGCAAGGTACGCAGTGTGTCCTGTGCCCCACATGGGGAGAAAATGCATACTACGCACCAAATTCACCTTTAGCCAAATGTGAAATACTGTTCTATTAGAAGTACGTGTTAGAAGGAGTGTGGCGTGAAGGACAGAAGGGAGGGTGTGCACAGAAATGAAGTAGGTTCTCATGTTCATGCAGGGGAATAATAGAATGAGGCTACCGCAGGAAAGCCAAGCAGCAGAAATGCATGCTGCTTAGATACACAGAACCGCACACCACAAGGAAGGGGCCAATATCAAGTCTCTGTTGGCAGAGAGTCTGATCGGGGTACGGGCAGGGGAACACCTTACTTTATAATCAGCCTTTTTGAACTGTTTGACTTTATAATCCATGGGCACGTAGTATTTTGATGACAAGTTATAAGTAATGGGAAACAGAAGTAAAATGTTCAGTGTAGTCTTCTGGGAATTTTTGAGTGATGAGTTTTGAGGGACCTGTTTATTCAAGACCACACTCGCTGCTGATGCCAGTTGCAGGTCCCAGGGTCCCAAAGAACACCCCAGCTTTCATAATTCTCTAGAAAGGCCTCTAGTGCTCCCTGAGAGCCACCTGCTCATGAGGAGGGCTCATGATAGGGAAAGAATGCAGACGGAAATCAGGGGAGGGAACAAGCCCAGTGGGTAGAGTGCAGGAGAGCTTCCCATGAGGAGCTGCGTCACCCCGGGGGAGTCAGTGTGAGCTGTCCCATGGCTCTGACATGTGGTTACCTGCACAAGCCCAAACCAGGGGCCAGAGTCAGGATGCGGACCCCGGGGTGTGGTCATGATTGATAGCTCATGGGGCTGCTCTCAGACCTCTCGACCCTGCAGGTGCGGACCATTCCCTCTCCTTTATCACATCCATGGCCTCTCTGTCCTGGCCAGCCACTGCCTAAACCAAACGCTCCATCTAGGTCTCTTAAGACCACTCTCCGGAAGGTAAGGGCAAGACTTAGACCTCTTTCTGGGCAAAGTGAAGTTTCTTATTTTATGGACTGCAATGATGTCACCTCTGGATCTCCTTTTATTAGGGTCCCGCTGGAGAGATGACTGAGTAGTAAACGAAGAGGCTGACTTATGAGCCGGACTGGACTCCTCTATTACCTTGATTTCTGTCTTAAATGTTGCAATATCCAGAAAATATATCTTGCCCAAATGTTATATTTATATTATATTAAAGCCTGGTACTAGTTATCTCATCTGACTTTGATTACATGGAAATTGAGGATTATAATTCCATTTTGAAGATTTATAGCATAAATATAAAGAAATAAACATTAAATTGATCCTCATGGTCAGCATAGAGAAGTTCAATTTCCCAGAAATTCTTTATCTGAATCAAAAGCTTTATTTCATGTATTCTAAGTATCATTTGTACTCCTTTGAAATAAAGAATTATTTCTGTGCTAACACAGATGTAATCAGATTGTTACTTCCCAAGAAGGAAGTCTTTGCATAGGCTACACATATCTTGACTTCCAAGGGAAATCATCCGATTCCTGGCTGTGTGCTGTAGGAGATGGTACAAAGGCCACCAAGCTTATGAGCCAGTGGACTGTGACTCTGTCATTTCAAAGTGTCAAGGTTTCCTCTTTAAAAAATAAGTTATAAAACTGTAGAGTTATCTCACAGTTATTATTGCTTGTGAAATTGAAAGATAAATAAATGCATTTTGTTAACTCTAGAGCAACAACACACACACACACACACACACACACACACATTCAGAGGCAGATGGAAAGCAGGAGAGAGGGTGCAACTCATGGACCAGGCTTTTCACTGCCAATCCATTCAGGGTTTTCCTTAAGTTTTGCTTAGATTTAACTTTGAATTTAGGGAAGGACAGATATTCATCAGAAACAGGAAATGAGGAGCTGTGATTGTTAGAAGCAATTCCCAAGGTGGTGTCTGATGCACTGAGATGAAAGTCCTTCACAGGTGCCCTCCTGCTCCTGAGGCCTCGCTGCCTTTGAGTTACCTGGGTGCAGCCCACTCCAAGGGCTTCATCCTTCTCATTTTTGTGGCAGCTCATCTTAGGAGTTGTGGGCTGTCCTGTGCACAGGACTATAGTTTCAAAAGCAGAGACGCTCTATGTCCCCATCAGAGGAAGCAGGAAGAGGAGGCACTCAGGACCAGGCCACGTCAGAGTTTCTGGTTGTGCCCTCGCTCTGCACAGTGCACAATGGGGTCCCGTGGTGACTGTGGGTGGCCAGGCACAGTCCCCTCCACCCACAACTCTGCTCCCTGTCCTGGGAGTCAGCTGTGAGTACTGTGGGGTCCCACTCTTGATTCGGCCCTGCAGTCTGTGCTCCACAATCACCCTCAGGACATGGCCAAGCCATACCAAGAGAAGCACTGGTCAGTGCCGACCTCCTGTGAGATAGGCCGGAGGAGGGACCTGGGCTGGACAGGCAGCCTGTGGACTGAGCTGAAAAACCAGAAGGGACTGGTGGCAGTCCCAAGGGACCAGGCCAGCCACCCAGCCCTGCAGGAACCCAGACCCCTGCACCTTCTGCCCTCTCAGACCATGGAACTGGGTTTGTGCTGCAACCAAGGGACTAGGAGTGCTCCACAGAGGCTCACCCAGCCCTCCTCCTGTCCTTGTTTCTGTACAGCACTTAGCTCCAAGGGCAGCGACCGCACGAGGTATGTGCTCACCCACTACATCTGGAGCATCGAAAGTCCAGCTGGCTTTCCATCCACTTATGTCTTTAGACAGTAGCAGAGGCCTAAACCTTTCTGAGAAGAAATACATATATATATCTTCACCCCGTGGTGCATAAATTGTCCTGACTTCAACCAAAAGAATCCCTTCCTGTGGATCCTGCATCTTCCTGCCACAAACCTCCAGTGGCCACAGCTGTCTTGTTTGGCACCAACCATGTCACGGTCTCTTGCTGTGCTGAGCTTCCCTGTGCCTGGATCTTACAGGTTCTGTGGGCTCAGCAAGGAGGGACCCTGCTGCTCCTAGCCTTGCTCCAGGCCTCCTTCAGAGCAGATCTGGGAGACAAGCACACTTCAAAATGGATATAAAGAGGACAAGCCAGAAAAGAGAGGGACCGGTCAGAATATTGCAAGTGAACTGGATGTTACTCTCGACGTTATGCCTCTATTCCTTTTCCCTAAAAATTCTATTGCCAGAATATTTGTGTTCTTTTGTTTGTCCCCTAGTGCAGTTTCAAACTAAACACACTTGTAGTGCTGTAGAAATGAGCCCAGAGCGAAGGCTGTGCTCTTAGGAGTCACGGGCCTTCAGATGGTGTCTGCGGAGCACATACCTTCAAAGCTCCGTCCCTCACAGACACCCCGGGCTTCTTTGTGCTCTGGCTCCAGAGAGTGGGCAATGCCTGCTTCCCAGGGCTGTGGGCCAGCTTGTCGTGCAGTGAGGACATTACTTTCCTTTGTTTTGAATTAGCAACTACTTGGAACATTGCATTTTATGAGAAGGTCATTGTTTAATTCTTGGTAGGATACATTTGCTTTCTTTAATTTAATAATATGGGTTAATGCTTTCTTTCAAGGTTGTAAAGTCAAAAACTTTGTAAATTAATTTTAATAAACCTTTTATGCACTTATTTAAATATGTTGTTCACAGTTAAACCCACTTAAAGTGTTTTTTGTTGTTGTTTTTTAGAATAAACACTCCAATTTAATACTTTTAATGAAATAAAATGCAAATTATTGAAGCAATAGCAAAAACCCATGCTACGTGAAATCCACAGCCAGCTGCGCACACCACAGGGGCTGAGTCAGGACAGGGTAAGCGGTGGTCTGTCACACTTCCATTCTGCACTTTGGTGTATCCAACTACCTGTGCCTTCCTTACTGGAGCTCTGTATATGTGTAAGACACAGAGAGAATGGCCAGTTCCCTTGACCACACAGCAAGTAGACCAAACCAAATGTATGGCTAGCCCGAGCTGCCCAGGATGGCTTCCTGGACATTTGGATATGCTAAGCGCTCCCTATATGACTGTGGGAACTCACATCATTTTAGGAGTAAGTTTTGCTCTAATTGTTTCTCAAGTGAGTAACAAATGTTTCTGAAGTATTTAGAAACTGGAGGATCAATGGTTCTTTCAAATCACAAGAAATTGGAAAGTGTCTACTTCAGTGTTGTTTGCTATGGGGTTCTTGCTGGAATTTTACCAATATTTTTAATAAACTTTATTCTGTGTGGACACTGTAGTTTTTCGACATATTGCTCTACCATCCGTGGCTTGGTAATTACTTCATGCATTTGGCCTGGAGACTCCTAAATTGAAAATAAGGTGCAATGCTTCAATATAACGGCCTCCTCCTGATGTGTTTTGCCTGGTGTAAAATTAAGGAACTAGCATTTTCTGCCTTCCTCCCTCATTGCTCCAAACTCTATCAGTGGTTGGTGAGTGCCCATAACTGTATTTCCAACAAAGATTACACAGATATTTCTGTCCAGCTACATGTCCTGCAGGGCTGGTCTGCGGTCTTCCGATCAGTAAAAATGTAATAACATTTTCACATAGTCAATATTTAATTCCGTAAATGCAACTGGTAGTTGTAATCTAGGTTATTAACCACACGGTGATTTATGACAGAGGGCAGACGGTGGCGGGGGCAGAGCAGTAGGAAAGTCCTCTGGTGACAATAAAAAGGTTATAAATTTCATAGCTCTGCCTGAGAAATGTATTTATACCCTATATTAAGAATAGCTTTTTATAAATTTTAATGATCCATGTTATTAATGGGGCTGTCATCATCATTGCCCATATGAGCCTACAGTCCTAGATTTCTTTTTCTTTTACTTTTCCATCAGCTAAAGGTTTTGTGAAAAAAAAAAAGTTCTTATTAGCTATTTGCCAAAAAAATCTTTTAGAGTTATAAGCCCATCATTGTTTCCCTGGACTGCCAAGCCTGTGAGCAGTAGTTTGCATAAAGTTTTATGGCCAAGGCAAAGGTTGGGCTAATTGGCTAGAACACAATTGTCACTCTATCATGTTTACAAAGGCCGAGTCAATATGCAGAAGTAAAGTCAGGGCCATATCAAAAAGAGAAACTTATTTATGTATGAAAATCGTCCTTCTCTTTGGCTCCCTGTTCCTTTGCTGGAAACCCACATGATTTCCAGCTCTACTTGGAAGTGCACACATCTGCCCAGCTGTAGCTCAACACCCTTTCAAGAAAGTTCACCGAGCACATAAATCTTTGCAACTTTATGTCAAAATGCATGTGAGAGATGAGTGGCCAATAGGAGTACTTAGCAGCTGTCTTAGCCCATTTCCTGGGGCTACAACAAAATACCTGAGGCTGGATTATTTAGTAGGAATGGGCCTCACTCGTGTCATGGTCTGGAGACATCCGATAGCTTGGTGCCAGCATGAGAAGACGACCTTCCTGTTGCGTGGCATTGGGCAGCAGCATCTTGTGGAGAGACCATAAGCAAGCCAGCCCAGGTCTCTCATGAAGCCACTGAGGCCTCCTGAGAGCCTCACCTCCTGCTCCTCCCAGGCACCCCTCATCCCAGCCTAATCAGCATGTGACTCTGGGCCTCGTCTCTAGCACATGCAGCTTTAGGGGTGCATCCGAATAATGGTAGTGAGGTGGGGCTCCAGCTGGGGGTGGGGGATGGTGGCCGGATGCTTACTGTGGGGCTGGTGTCCCGGTGCTTTCCCTACTAGGGTATCACTTCCAAACCAGACTCTTACAGGGCAAGCTGAGACACTCAAAGCCAGTTCTAGCAATGGGCCCCAAGGCTTGCTCTGTAGGCAGCCTGATGGGCTGGGAACAGGCTGTCTCTGGGTACAGGTGCTCAGGGCCAACCTAGCTCACGGGTTTCCTGCCAAAGATCTCCCAGGTTGAAAACCACGTAGAGAGACTGATTCAAACCAACCAACAAACCTTATCTCAAGAGAAGAAATTATGCTTATCATTTTTACATAGAAAACTAATTTTTTGATCATTTTATTTTATTATAGTTATACATAGTTGTTGGGTTGATTTTTATTAAATCATACATGCATTTTTTTTTAATTTTTCTTTTTTTATTTTGTTCTGTTTAAGTGTAGATGACAAAAGAGTGTATTTTGAAAACTACTTTTTAACAACATAAATCTATTCCAGTCAAATTCGGGGGCTAAATTTTTAATGATATTTTTAAGCAGTTAATTTCTTATTATAAATAGTACAAACACTTCTTAAAGTTTTTTATTTCATGGTTACTTTTTGAACTAAAAAAATAATGTCTACATGTTTTTAATAAAAAGTTCCATATTCATTATATTAGGAAAGATGGTAAAAGGTGTTTTCCAATATCTTTGTCACCTGAGAAAACGGGTTGTGTCATGAGCCATGAGAGTGCTTTATCAGAACCTCACATAACATTTTAAGGACTTTTCTTCCTTTGGCTAATGCTGAATCAGGGATAAAACATGGAAGAATCCGGGTTCAATAAAAACACAGAAACTTCTTTTTGCTTGTCTTTCTTTTTCCCTCCCTTCTTGTGCCCCCTCCCCCCTTTCCCCCCTCCATGAGAGACACACTAAGTGCAGCTTGGATCCCTGGCTAAATTGCAGCTAAGGACAGAAACCAGGACAGTACACTGCAGGTATCCCTGTTCCTCCCCGTCCCTCTCTTCTGTCCCCTGAAGTAATGGGATCCAAACTTGACCCCTTCATGAAGGAAAACACCATGTTTATTTGGGAAAGCCTGGGTGGAGGCCCACGCTGCTGAGCCAGCATTGTGCTGGCCAAGA